TTGCCTCTTGGCTCTGGGATTCAGAGAATTAGTGCTTCTGAATGTGGAGGGTCCCCCCAGTCACTTATCCTCCATGAATCTATCCAGTCCCCTTTTAAAGCTGTTTATTTCTGTGGCCATCACCTCTGGCAGCGAATTCCACACTTTAATCACTCTCTGTGTTAAGCAGTGTTTCCTTTTGTCCATCCTGAACCTACTGCCCATCAACTTCTTTGGATGCCCTCGAGTTGTAGTATTTTGGGAGAGGGAGAAGAAGTTCTCTTTGTCAGCTCTCTCTGCGTAATGTTAATCTCAGTACTCTTGACCTTGTTACCCACGTGTACACATCATTGCTGGCACTAAAGGATGGGGGGGCTGTATTCTGCTCTACTTGTCTAGCAGAGGATTGCTCTTCAAGTACTGTGGCACAAATTTTATACAGCAATCCTTAAAGTAGCAGGATAGGATTAAGCTGCATACATACTACAAGGATCACCACTGTAGGGTAAAACCTGAAAGAAAATGAAGCCTTGTGCCTAGGCAAATAGTTCAAAACACAGGTAGCAGTGATCAGAGGTATATACTTCACATGGTAATGGAGAAAGGAGTGAGCAGAGGACTAAAACATGATAGGTAAGGAAGGAAATACAGGGGGCAGTTATGTAGAAGTCTTTCTTTTGGCCTTTTTATGATGCCCAAATTATTTCCTGAAGGATGGCCAATGGAATGGAACTTGTCCTTTTGAGGACAATAAAGACTTATAATTTGATAAATAACACAAAATTAAAAATCAAAAGCACTGCTTGCTACAGAATTGTACACTATCTAAGACCTATAGAGTCACTTCTTTAAAGAAGCACAATTTTCAACAGTGTACACACTTGTTTTAAGGGGTAATCATGCTTTCCAATAAACACACATGTTTCTTTATAAGCCAGTCACCATCTTGACATTTGCCTCTGGCCAAGCAAACTGGGCATCAAAGAAGAAGCTGAGCTTCTTTGAATGCTACTACCAATGTTATTTTGCTGGGAAAGTGTGCTATACAAGCAGCACAAGTGGCATGCTATTCTCCCCCAGACTAAATGGCCTGTCAACAATTCCTCCCATTCCTGAGCTAGAGACACTGTGACTGAACCCAATTTTGCTAATAGCAATTAAAGAAACATTAAACTTAGTTTGACATACAAAATACCAACCATAGTGGAGGAACACAAAATGTGTATAGAGAGTAAAATATAAATGCAACAAGAAAACAGAAGGAAAACAATTTGCATGTGACACTGTTTTTAGAGCTGTAATAAGGAGGGTATTTTAAAAGAAATCCTGTAATTTACACTGCAGTAATATATTCCTGCTTTATAAACTGATGGATCCCATTTAATACAGAAGGAAAATATGGAATCCTTGCGTGGTGATTTCTGTTTTGGACTGCACACAAGTCTCCAGTTAAGAAACTTCCTCCCATCAAGTTTTAAAGTAAGAAAATAACATTTTCTAGACTGCAAACTTACAATATATATATATATTTAAAAAACATTATCCCCACAATAAAATGTATATTCACTAACTGATGGAAATATATATATAACACAGAACCAGAACCGCATCAATGCAGAATTTTATGAATGTACTATGGTACTTTTGGGTGGGGGAAGAACATAAGCAGATACCGCAGTCCTCACCAGTTCAGCAAAATCTGAACTGGGGTGTATGTGCTGTTTTTTAAGTATTCTGAAAGACTTTTTAAAAGACTTTGCATTAAGGCATGTTTTTACTTCATAACCTGCAGGGGGAACAATACACTTGCTTTGCAATATCATATTATAACCTAACAGTTGAAGACTACAAAAACTGCACTTTAAAAATAAACGGAAGTGATGTGATATCTGAACAAGGGACCTTTGATTCTTAAAAGCTCACACCACCAAAACCTTGTTGGTCTCTAAGGTGCTATTGGACTTGAACCTAGCTGTGATTTTAAAAGAATCCCAATATTCTCTCCAGGGGAGCTTGCTCAAGCATTAACTGGAGACTGGGGCAATTTCTACTGTTTCCTCCTCTTCATTGTAGCCCCGTTTTGCTATGATGCATTTTGTTGCCACAGTCTACAGACCTGCAGAGGAAGATTTCTCAGGTGGCCTCGGGGACTGCTTGGGGAAGTACCAAGCAGGGAAGAACTGTTCTGTCTATTTCTTCCATAACCTATTTATATAGGATCCAGTGTCTTGGCTTCATCATGGATTATTGTTTCATTTTGACCAATACACGGTAACTGCTATGTGAGGCCAACTGTACATAGCTCCATATTAACTTGTTAATCATAGCACGTTACTTAAAAGTATGACCACTAATTTCACTTGAATTACTCATAAGTAATATTTTCAGGATTATCCTTGTATCTTTGCTCTCACACCTACTTCACTGGTGGGAATATCAACCTGGCTAGTTTTTGACTATGAACTACATATAGCCCTCCTTTCTGTGACGTCCCACCTGGACCCATGTAATCTTTGAAAATAAAGAGATGTGTCATCCAAACCGTCATCATGTTCTGTAACGTTCAAGATTACATTACATTACATTACATTACATTACATTACATTACATATTAGACTTCTATACCGTTCCTTCCCGAAGGCTCGGAGTGGTTTACATAGACATTTAATTGCCTAGCTAGGGCCAAAATGCAAGGGGGAGGGTGAATGCCTTACCAGGCATCTATGCAGCAATGGTCTTCTTATGTTGTTCTTTCGTGGCCGATTCTTTTTTTGCTGTGTTCGGGCAGCGGTGTCTTTGGCGGAGGTCTCTCTCTCTCTTCATATCGGCTCTTTTGGGGTGGTCTTTTACGGTGCGCGGCCATGCGATGCCGTAACCGTTGGGCTCCGTCCCGCAGGCTCCGACCACGTTGTGTCACCACGCTGCCACGTCACCCAGGCCAATCGCCATCCGAGTCGCCCGCTGTCTCCTGCCAGCCTGCCGCCATGTTCTTTTCCTGCCGGATCGCAGCTCGCCGTTTGCACCGCCATCCAGCCACTCAGCCGCCGCCGCTGCGCTCCAATTTTTTTATTAGAGGAAGGGTAGGGTGCCCCCCCACTCTAGGAGTGGGTACCCATTTATCTATTTGCTTTAAGGGCTTTTGAACCGCTGGGTGGGCGGGAGCTGGAACATGGGCCGGGAGCTCACCCCGGCCGCAGTGGGACTCGAACAGCTGTTAAGGCTGTTTGGTGATAGATTACTTTTTGCAGGCTTTAACTGCCTGCGCCACCGCTCCCTTACTGAGATTAACACCATGTGCTCTTCTGTACCACCTATTTCATACAAAGGCGCCCACCCCAATATTAGCATTAGAATTGTGTAAAATCAGCACTTAGCCAAACTAAGAAATAACAGGCAATACTACATTTGCTGACTTATCAAAGTATCTGAAAGATTATTTAGTTTTAAAAGAATATCTATATGCCAGTTTTGTTTTAATTACTATGTTGCATGCATTGGAGCGTATTATAAATGGGTCTTTATTTTACAAAGTGTGAACATACACAAAACAAAAGGGAACTATGAACTCCCCAGGGAAGCTGTCCAAAAAGAGAAAAGTGGTCTCTATAAAGCCACCCTCCCCAACTCAGAATGCTAGTGTTGCTGAATCCACACAATGAATCCTTCTGTGCTTGATGTCAAATGCTATAATCCTTTACCGAGCATTGTTTAATTAGTTTATTATGCATAATAAATGTAAAATATTTTATTTTAGTTTACATAATTATATTACAAATGCATGCCATTTATCCTCAGACTTGTAGGATATCCTTCACAAGTGACAAGTTTTTAGAAAGGTGCATTTATAAAAATAATGCAATTTGCAGGCCAGGCAGTTTGAGCTTCTTTTCTATTATCCTGGAACAAAAAACAACAACAGCCTTGCTTTGCTACCTTTGGGCTGCTATCTTACAAATAGTACAAAACAACACAACACAGAAATCAATGACAGATGTTAACCTGCGTAGTGATGCTGTAGCAGAATACGCATCTCTTTAATGAAGGTATATTAGTGACTTAAAATAATTCAGTAATATGCCTGTGGTGATGTGAGTATTTTATTCCAGCAATCAAAATACATTCCACTCAGCTGATTGCACTTTAACCCAAGAATATTTCAATTCTGTAGCCACTAGATATGATGCAAACCTTAAAAAAAATTAACAGAGCTGTAAAGCAAATGAACACCGGTCTCATCAAATAATGCAGTTCAATGCACAACGGAACTATAAAGTGGTTCCAGAGGCAGAAGCCCTTATGATAGGGCAAAAACAGCTACGTACACGAAGACAACTCCTTTTTTTTGCCCCCTATGTTCTCAGGAAGATTTAAAACAGAATACGTTATAAGGAGTGAGATTAACCAATGCTTACTAGGGTTAACATTTCCACTCATGAAAAAGTAACCCCTAATAACCATTAAGTACCATTTGTGTTTCCAGAGTCTTATTTCAAAGATAACAAAATACACAGCCATCCAAACCCTTCTCTGATTTAAAAAAAGGTGACTCTTCCTGGCTCTGAATCATTCACAATATTTTTCATGCAAACAGAGGAAAAATAAGCTCCGGTCACTGTTCCTAAAATGACAGGCAGGTGCTTCAATTTAACCTGCTTTATGGACAATGAGGCTGCTGAATTCTTAGGGGGACATTCTTCTTTAGTGTCATGGCTGCAACTCAACCAAGATTCCCCCTCCCCCAATGCAGCTGATCTAAAGAGGCAACGCAGATCAGCCTTCCCTCCACAGAGAATTCTAACAGACACAAGAGCAGCACCTGCAAAATATACAGCATCGGCCCTTCACTTCAGTGTTTCACACCAAAAGCCTTCAAAACAGGTCTGTTTTTTCCTCCTGTATTTGAAAAATAACAACCCCCCAAACTTGCTTAATTCTGTAGTGATGGGAAAGCAATGCCAATGTGTTTTAATAATGAAATGGCACGAATGCCACTAGATCACCAGCATTTCTGCTCCTATTACCTGTAGTCGCACCAAGGGCATCTGTAGGGTTTTTCCCCAGTATGGACGCGTTTGTGCCGTGTCAGATGGGACTGGGTTGTAGAAGCAAAGTTACACTCATCACACTTGAATGGCTTCTCTCCTGAAAGACAGTGAAAGAGATTTGTTTTTACAGGTAGAAAGGAGAAGGTAAGGTTCGTTGGTTACTAACCTACAATATCGCAGAAGGGTAAATAAATATTGCAATGCTAAGAGCAATGCATGAAATCTCATGCACAAAACATTAGGGGACATATTCTCTGCAACATATATTATCTACCATAGTGGCTAATTCATAACTCATACAGCATTTGTTACAACTGACTTGGGTCTATGATTTTTTGAAAATGCTTCCATATCGTGACGACTCCATGTGTATTGAATTGCCTGTGTATATTAATTAACCATGTACCTCTATAGAGTATTTCTGACTCCCAGTACACACTATGAAGGTAAATGGGATTTTTGTGGTGATGAGGCAAATTACATGAATGAAGCCAGGG